GTATATAAAAAGATATTCCATGAAAATGGTAACCAAAGAGAGGATTTTAAGTCAGAAATTGTTAAAAGAAACAAAAGAGGTTACTATGAAATTATAAAAGAGTGAATTCACCAAGAGGATACAACAATTACAAATGTATATGTACCTAATATTAGAGGACCCAAATATACAGAAAATATTAAAATTAACTCAAGGAAAAGATAGAAAGCAATACAATAATAGCAGAGAATTCCAACACTTCATTTCAATCATGGATGGATCATCCAGACAGAAAATCAATAAAGAAACAGTGGACTCAACATCATAGACCAAATGGACCTAAGACACATTTCTAGAACATTCCATTCAACAGCAGCAGAAAACATATTCAAGCACACACAACATTTTCCAGGACAGATCATATGTTAGGCCATAAAACAAGTTTTAACAAATTTAGGAATATCAAAGTCATATCAAGTATCTTTTCCAACCACAATAGTCTGAAACTAGAAGTTAATAGCAGGAGGAAAATTGGAAAGTTCAGAAATATGCAGAAATTAAATGACATACTTCTGAACAACCAGGGGGCCAAAGAAGAAATCAATTTGAAAATATCTTGAAACAAATAAAAATGGAAACAACATTGCAAAAGGGAAGCTTGTGAAGAAAATGTGGTTTGCATAGAGGTCTAACAATTAAGTTGGTGAACTCACCCTGGAAAAATTGCTACATACCTCATTGCTGAATATCACTATGGTCACTTTCAAAGTACCCTGCTTGGGAAGCTACACGTTGATGTCAGGGCACAATCCACCCCTCAAAGCAATTTTGGAGCTCTTTTTCTGGAATGGTCATCAAAGCTGTCTTTATATTATCCTCAATGTCCTGAATATCATCAAAATGTCTTCCTTTCAATATGTCCTTTATCTTCAAGTAAAAAAAAAAAAAAATAGCCATTGGGGCCCAGATCAGTTGAGTAGGGAGAGTGTTATAGTTATTTGTTTACTGGCTATAAACTCCATCACAGACATTGCCTTGTAAGCTGGTGTGTTGTCATGATAGAAGAGCCATGAGTTGTTGGCCAAGATTTTCAGTTAAGATATTCCTGTCTTTCTTTTGATGTTGACTTGGTCTGCTATGCTTCTCACAGTCACCCAATGATTTTGATGCCCAATTTGATGAATTTTTGCAGTGTTTTCATCAGTTCTGCTCATTACTGGCCACCCTGACCTCTCTTCATCAGTGATGCTTTCTCTCTTTAGAAAGACGTTTAATCCATTTGTACACTGCCATTTTCTTAATGGGATTATCCCTATAGACTTGGACTAACATGTCCCTGATTTCACTTTTACTCTTTCCAAATATAGGAAGAAATTTAACATTTGTTAGTTGCTCTAATTCAAGCTCCAACATTCTCACAATGGCACACAAAAACATGCAACAACAATAATGAACACCACTCAGCAAGACAATGCCACACGTGGACACGAACACAGCTGTGAGACACTGAGATTCCAAGGTTACAAAACCATCCTGACTGGTTTGTTCAGTCCTGCCAGTGTAAGCACACAGTGGCAAGTCTGCAAACTTAATTGTCAGAATGCACGTTACAAAATGGAATACTATTTAGCCTTACAAAAGAAGGAAATCCTGTCATTTGCAACAACACAGATGAAACTGAAGGACACAGTGCTAAGTGAAATAAGCCAGGACAGAAAAGCAGATGCTGTACAACTTTACTTCTGGAACCTAAAAAAGTCAAACTCATAGAAACAGAACAAAGAATGGTATTTATGGGAGGGGGAGGGCTGAGGAGATATTAGTCAAAGGGTATATATTTTCTCTTAGGCGGGGGAATACGTTCTAGAGAGCTAATATACAGCATAATGACTAATAATGTATACTTTAATTTGCAAAAATAATAAATCTTAAATGTTCTCACTCCTAAAAGAACCCTGCAAAGTGATGGATATATCGATTACCTTGATTGTGGTAATCACTTCACAGTGTATACAGGCGTGGGTCATTATGAAAATTTTAAGATAGACAAACATCAAGAAATATAAAATCCACAATGGAAGCAACACTGATAAGCCAAACAAGCTGAAACTCACACAGGTGAATCTGAAAAGATGCTGTTGACTGTATTTCTTGGAAGTGAAATAATGGCCTGTCTCAAAACTTTTGTAGTGATCCACATGTATCAAAACTTCACATTGTACACCATAAAGATACTCCATTTTTGTCAGTCATACATCAGTAAAGCTGGATAAAAGAAGAAACTGTCAGTGGTGGTGTCCCAGCTGTCCTGAGTTTATGTGACAGCCTTTCAAGCACACCCCTAACATGTTCACAGAAGCAAACCCAAGTTTTCACTTCGAAATGTGGATTGTTTTACACGGAAGTTTTATATAGATTTTTTTTAACTTCACTAGATTTTTAAATGTTATAATCATATAAAAGATAAGTATTTATAAAGATCACTATTGAATCTTTATAAAATTCAAAGACTAACATTCTTAGCAAATCTATATAGAGCCCATTCAGGACCCCTCTGGTCTAGCCCAGTGGGCCATACAGATATTATGTGACAAAATGTTGTCACCTACATGAATCAGGGGGTGAAGCTGGGTCCTGACAGGATGCAGACAGCCCTCCAGCTACATGTCCTGCACCCATCTGGGTGAAGGGGCTGATACAGAAGTGCGGTGAACTCTACCTGACAGTAGGGAAATACTGAAACTGGCTCCCAAAGTTTAAGCTGTCCCGGCTGAGGTCAGGAAGGCCAAGGCAGAGGCACAAGAGTGAAAACACACCTTCTCAACTAACGAGCCATCCAGCAGCTCTGTCCCAGGGAGAGACGCCACAGCCAGGTTTCAGGACTTACTAGCTACCAGAAATTTGGTCTCATTCCTGTGGTGACAAGGATGTCCTGAGGTTTTCATCAGGAATGATAAAATCAGATTTGGCTTTGGGCTACATTTGAGGCAGCTCCAGGAGTGACTGCATGAGGGACTCTTGGACTCCAGAAGGTTGTAGTACTAGCTGGGTGTGAATGAAGTACCCTCAAGCAGAGCCAGTGGCTCAGAAGGGGGCGATGACTTGGAGAGAGAGATGGGGCCAGGTTGGACAGGTTTGTAATCCCTAGGAATGGAAAGTCAGAAAGCAGAGGTCAGGACAGGGAAGACTTATCAGACCCAAGGCCAGTAGACTTCCTGGGGCTGGACACACAGCAGTGAAGTAGCAGGTTCCTTTCAGATGCAGAATGCCTCTCAAAAGTCTAGTGAAGCCTCAGACTTGGCACTACCCAGCTCACCAAACAGGCAGGCTATGAGAGCTGCCCAGAAACAGAGCAGGGCCTGGGGGAAGCTGTGAGGCCTTCTCCAGCCCTTCCTGAAGAGGGAGGCCCCAGGGGGAGAGCTGTGAGCGCTGTCCAGACAGACCTGTTTGACATTTACAGCCAAGCCTTGGATTGGTTTCATCCTTATACATTGTTTTAACCAGGAGCAGCTTCTTCCTGGAAAATTCCCTTTCTACCTCACTTTGCTCTTCCCAGGCATGGGCTTCTGGGAGGAGGGGCTGGACACCTGGCTGCTTTGGCTGCTGTGCCCTGTGTCTGCTGTGGTGCTCTGCAGTAGCCCCTAGGAAAATAATTAGGCCCTCCCTGGAGCTGCCCAAGATCACTTTTTGAAAAGAGGTGAGGGTGGGATTTGGAGAACAGGTGTTCCTGAGGCGGGGAGGGGGGGGGGGTTGCCCCCATGCTGGGCTTCTCCAGCTTAACCGTGAGCTAGTGTTTCACAGGAGTACAGGGTGTGATGCAAGTTGGTTCAACATAGCCACATCTTTGTGCCCCATTTTGCTCTACGGAATGCTGGTCTTCGGCTTTTGATCCTTGGCAAGGCACAATAAGGGCCAAAGCCTGGAGGCCAGGAAAGGGCTTTTTCAGCGTGAGGGCGCGGTGTGAGCTGGTCCTTCCTCAGGGACGTGTTGCTCTTCACCGCTGGGTAAGATCTGCCTTGAGGACAAAGGGCCGGCGGTGCTGAAGGTGCTTGAGGAGCTCTCCGGTGGCGGCTGGGGTACACGCGGGGAAATCAGGAAATGCCCGTGCGCCCTGCGGAGCTGGGAAGGCGCGGGCGGTGACCTGGGGGTGACCCCGCCCGGCGTGCTCAGAACGGTCTGCGACCCTGGGCGTAGGGATCCGGGTGGAGCCGGGTGCGGGCGAGTGGGAGCGCGACAAGCGCCCTGCGGGCCAGGGAAAGTGAAAGGGTGGCTGGGCCTCCAGCGCGCCGCTCCAGGAAGTAGCGAGCAGGAAGCGCCCGCTGTGGCCGAGTCGGGCTCGGTGCGCCGGCCTCGAGGGCGCAGGTGAGCCGCGGGCCGAGCCAGGAGACTGACAGGCGGCGCGGGCCCCCCACCGCCCGCACCTGCAGGGCCGACGGCGCTCGGGCGCCGCACCTGCTGCCTCCGCGCCGCCCCCCACTCCCCGGGGGAGCCGGCACCGGACCCTGCGCACCCGGCAATTGGCCCCTCTCATCCCTTTTTCTGTTTGTTTGTTTGATTGGTTGGTTTGGTTTGGTTTTGGTTTTTGGAGGGGCCCGGAGCCAGTCTCAAGCCGCTTTCGCTGAGGGACGTCTTTGGGAAATTCGGGATCTAGAAGAGTGGCACTGGGCGACAATGCCTGGCGTTCCCGACCGGGCAACGCTGGGATTCCGGGCAAGTGGAGGCAGAGGGAACGGTTCTGGGCTGGCAGCCGCTCATCGAAGCCCCTAGCAGGGGGGAGCTTAGGTGCCCTGCGGGGTCTCCTCCCCACCCCGGCCGACCGGCGGTGACAGCTGGGAATCTAGAGAGCCGGCTGGAGGAGACCTCGCGCATTGTCTGCCGCGATGGGGACGTGGGCGTGCCCGCAGAATTCACCTCCTCCTGGGACCAGCCGCCCTGGGAGGAGCAGCCGCAAAGCGTTCTCCGGTAGGCTGGGAGCGCCAGCACCCTGGGCCTTTGGGTTGTTTGTCTGCTGAGCAGCTGGTTCCCGGAGCCCGTAGTCCTCCGGGCCAACGTGAGTGACAGCGACCTGCTCTGGGTTTACAATTAAGGGCTTAAAACGCCGGAACGTACCCCACCGCTGGCCACCAGCCCTCCAGCCTCCTCAATTCCTGAAGCCCTCGGTCTGATCCTGGAGACTGAAGAGGCCACGTTTGCATTTGAACCGAGGGTATCGGAAAGCCCCTGCCCCACCCACCAGGAAGGTGCCTGCCTGCCCTTGAGCTTGAATTGTCTGAAGTTGTGTGAGCGGGTAAATATACTAGAGACTTTGGCCGTTGTCTTTTATAAATCCCCTTTCAGAGGAAGCTGGAAAACCCTGGGCTCTAGACCCTTCACCTTATAGTTTGAGAGCTGCACTTGTAGGTGGTTTTGTGCAGACCTGGGTAGATGTTCTGTTGGGGGTGCGGGAGGGCTGGGGAAGGTGGTGTGAATAGAACTCAGATTCCTTGTTGTACTTAAGCTAAAGGAAAGAGTGGCCATTTGCTTACTCTGGAGAGGAAGTTTTATTCTATCTCTTGATTTCAACAAAGAAAAATGAATGGAAACTTTTCTGGGTGGTCATGAATTTCTCATCTTTGCCTTGAAGATGAGACCCTGTTAAAAAAAATTGCCATTAAGTAGATTATTAAAAATATCTGTGGGGCTGCTTCAAAGACATGCAAAGACACTTTGGCCCTGAAAAGACCTTTTCAGCATTACTCTTGCTGTTTACTCACTTTTTAGCCTCATTATTAGTCTCTGCAGAATTTGGGATTTTGTCTAGATCAGCACTGGTGGGTCTGAGGGTGGGGCTTGGATATAAATCTCTTTGCTCATTCCCTGTTCTGGCTGCCTAGGCTGGGCTTTTAAAGGGATAAGTGCAAAATCGTGTGTTTACAAATTTGATAGAGTTGCTCTAACAAGATGCCTCCTAAGTCACTGTCTTTGACAATACGGTGAAATTGGACGTTCTGATACTTTTCCCTAGTGGGGTGGTAAGTTCTCTGGTAGGGAACCTATAAAGAGTGACTTTTTTAAAAGTATGTCTTTTTTTTAATTGTACTTGGGACGTGTGCCAAAATCAGGGTTTTTTTTTTAATTTTATTTTTATTTAATTGTTTTGAGACAGAGTCTCACTATGTCACCCTCGGTAGAGTACCATGGCGTCACAGCTCACAGCAACCTCAAACTCTTGCCTCAGCCTCCCACGTAACTGGGACTATAGGCGCTTGCCACAAGGCCTGGCTATTTTTAGTTCTTGTAGTTGTCATTGTTGTTTGGCAGTCCAGGGCTGGTTCGAACCCACCAGCCCCAGTGTATGTGGCCGGGCCCTAGCCACTGAGCTGCAGGCACTGAGCCAAAAGCAGGGTTTTTAAAGCCCAGTGACTTGCTCCAGCTCTGCTGCCCTCACTTTGCAGGGGATGGGGAGCAGGAAGAGTGGCTGGAAGAAGAGGTGACGGAGGGAAACAGGACAGACTGGAATTTGTCCGCAAGATGGAGATGACTGGGCAGCCGTCTTGCTTCATTTTTCTCCTCCATGACCAGCCCAAAATGAAGTGGGTGCTGCCCAGGCTAGGTAGGAGGGACCTCCTTAAACTGAGCTCTTTAATGTCCTAAATGCAAAGTCTCTATCTTAACACTTAATTCCACTCAGTGGGAGAATTTATAGCACTTTCCTTTCACCTGTGTTACAAGGGAAGGCACAGAGTCCTTGTTTTACACAGAAATCAGGGCATTTTTATTGTCATTTCCCCCCTGCTGATTTGCCAGTCCCTCCTGGGTCTTTACTGTTGTTACAGGTTCTACCCAAGGTGAATTGAGGTTTTTATTTATTTAGTAAATGGCAATAGAATATTTCCAGACATTTTGGACACTGAGAAGCAGTTTCTGAAAGGAAGAAAGTTGATTCTGACCACACATTTTCAGGCCTTATAAAATTTAAGCTAAATCCTTTACTGTAAAGCGGGCATCCTCAAACTATGGCCAGCGGGCCACATGCGGCCCGCCTAGGACATTTATCGGGCCCATCAGGTGTTTTTGCCACCACTGCCTATTCTGCTTAGCAGCCGACTCATCCTGGGGCCTGCAGTCTGCCCCCCCCCCATCAGTCTGAGGGACAGTGAACTGGCCCCCTGTTTAAAAAGTTTGAGGACCCCTGCTCTAAAGTCATCATCACAAAATAGTATATCTGAGCTTAAACCAGAGTCCTTTTATTCTGGGCAGAATTTTAGCAAAATACTTTTTAAACCTAGAGGTTTGAGCAAACATAGTTTTGAGGCATTTGGGGGGGCCATTTGTTCAACACAAGTTTCTTGAGCAAGGTGTTCTGTGCTAGATTCTGAACCAGGAAATAAGAATAGGACAGTCACTTACAGCCCAGCCCCGGTCCTCCTCTCTTGAATTTACAATTCAAATAGTATCAGCTATTTTTGACCGAGCATTACTGCGTACCAGGGTCCCTCAGTGCTTTCAGTGGCTTATCTCATCTCATACATATAACCACCTAGGTGCCATCATTCTCATCATTTAGCCTGAGAGATGAGGGACCAGAAATTTGTGAGTTGCCTAGGCCTACCCAGCCCAAGTTCTGCCTTGAGGGCCAGAGACATTCTAGGTGGAATGAGTTGCACCTGTTAAGGCCTGTGGGGCTTGGGAGAAAGGTGTTCTGGTTGGAACAGAGAAGGAGGAGGTGGAGGAGTCTTCTGGGTTGAAAGCTTAGCCAGGATTTTGAGTCTTTGCAGAGGGTTGTTTAAAGGAAAATCGTTGCAGTGTGTGCATTTTTTGAAAGCTCACTCTGGAAGGAGGGCAGAGTGAGTATGGAGAACCCATTCTACTTTGGGAAATAGAGATGTAGGAATATAAATCATGGAGTTGGCTTTGGACCAGGAGACCAGGCCAACCTGGTGTGCTGGGCCCTTCTTATTTCTCCGGCCTCTCTGCCCATTCCTCCCTGTACTGCTCTGCCTTCATCCCTGACTTCATAATGAAGTAACTGTTCATGACCCTGTGGAGACCATGGGAAATGAAAAATGAGGCAGATGGAAGCGAAGTTCACTCCCTCAGCATCAGGTATATTTCAATCCAATGTTCCTTTGTTACTATGGCTCAAAGGTAGCCTGGTCCATACCAGGTGACATTGAGCGAGTCTGGTACCCTGGCATGCTCTGATAATTGGGCACATAATGTAACCAACCAACACAGACTCGGTTTTGTGTGAATGTTATCAGTTCTGTAGAGTATTGTGGTTAAGAGTAAACGGGTTAATCTCTAAATGCCTACCAAATAAGCTCCATGGTATTTTTTTTAATTAAAAAAAAATTTAAGTTGACAAATAATAGTACATATTCCTGGGGTACGTAGCAATGTTCCAATACATATTAATATGTACAGTGTACGTTATATTAATCAGAGTATCAGCATATCCACACATTGGCCATTGCTTTGTGCTGGGAACATTCAGTATCCTCCTCAGCCGTCTGAAGCTCTGGGGTACATTACTGTTAACTAGTTAGCCTGAAGTGCTGTAGAACACGGGAATTCACTCCTCCTGTCTGGGCTAACTCTGTGTCCTTTACCAAATCTCTCACAATCCCTCCCTTCCCTCACCCTTCCCAGGCTCGAGTGTCCTTGGTTCTACTGTGTACTTCTGTGTACTTCTGTGTACCACTAGAACATCAATTGAAATTCATTCCTAGGACTTTTGAGCAAATTGCCCTGAGGGCATATATGCTGGTGGCACTTGTGGTAGGAGCTCCTTCTAGTATCAGAGATCCATTTTGATCTGAACTCGGTACCACTGTAGTTACTCCTGCCAGTGACTCTAAAGGTGTCATTGTCAGAACACTGACCTGATGCTTCCCCTTCTTGTAGAGAGCAGAGCCACTGCCAGAAGGAAGAGGGGACGAGTCACAGCAGGACACTTTCTCTGCACGCTTCCAGCCTGTGTAAGCAGCAAGAGCAGTCTAAAGAGAACCTGGAGCCAGGATTAAGAGACTATTTATGAAGCATCTTATTTTGTGACCAAGTTCTGTTGTCAGTGACGACATAAATGGCTCAACTCCCCGTGGGCATTCGTTTTATCGCCTCATTCTCCAGGGATCAGTGGTAAGTCATGGCAGGTCAGTCCTTTGGCCAGTGCTGTGTGTAGGTGAGGGCTACTGTGCAGGGGGTTTTCCTGCCCCAGTGCCATTAGAAAACACACAAAAGTTGGATCAGCAGCCTCCCCGTGACTGTTAAATTGCTTATTGGTGGTGGAAGCTGTGACCTGGACCACTGCCCAGCCTTTGGTGTCAACTGATACAGTTTGGACTTCGGTGTGGTCTTCAGTAGTTTCAGAAAAATGACTATTAGCAATCAGAAGGATTATGTTAATAAACAGTTGTGGGGAAATAAGTACATACCTCTGAGCCCAAATGTGACCTAGCTGGAGCAGAACTTTCAAAGAGAAATTGAAGCAAAATTAGAGGCAACCAGACAGCACTTTGTGTTCACACTGTACTCTCCCTGCTCACACTGAAGACCTGCACAAGTGGACCCAAATGGCAGGGCACAGCCTGGAGCCGGGCTCTGGCCTCGAACCCACCCTGCTGGCCTTTGTTGGGAAAGGAAAGTTTTTATTCTGTTATGTTCAATATTTGAGAGCCTGTAAATTAAACTGAGGAAAGATAAATTAGCCCAAGGAAGGACAGATTTAATCACCGTGTACCAAGGTCATAGGAAAATGTAGAATCTCGAACAGGGGAAGGGGAGTCCTCACAAAGGGCTTTTTTGGAAAGATAAAAGGGCTTGTAAAAGAATGGATGGGAGACTCACTGATAAGAGTCATTCTTCCCCCTGAGAGAGGATTTATGACAGTTGAGTCTTTTAGTAGGCTTTGCTGTTAGGCACTTAAGAGAGTTCAGGAACTCTTTTGTTCAGAATGGTTTTGATGCCACAGTGGGAGTTCTGGGCCTGTTTGTCTACTCCCCCCAGCCCAGCCTGGTGTGGCCTCCATCCTCTAGGCAGTTTCTGAGCCCCTGCGGGTGGTGGAGCTGCCCTGGCTTCTCAGGATTGCCTTGAGGACATCTGCACTGGCTTCCCTTCTTGACTCTCTGGGTGTGTATCCCCAAGTACCTTAGTGAGCTTTTAGGGTCTTTGTTTTATAACTTTATTTTGATAAAATTTCAAACTCACAGAACTTACTAACATTTGTTAAGAATGTTACAATGAACTCCCATGGACCTGCTGTCTGTCAGCTTGTTAAGGTGCGGCCTGACTGGCTTCTCTCCCTGCCACCCTGACTGTGTGTGGACACACACACACACACACACACAGAGCATTCTGACCCATTGAAGAGTAATTTCAGATTAACCTAAAATAAGTATAAGAGTCAGTTGCAGATACCACACCCTTTTATTTTTAAAATACTCCTGTGTGTCTTTCCTGTGAATAGACATTCTCTTATATAACCACAGCATAAAGATCAAAATCAGGAGATGTGACATTGGTAAGAGACTGTCATCTAATCCAGAGCACATACTAAAAATGATACCAACTGTCCAGTAATGCTTTTATGGCATTTTCCCTGTGCAGAATTCAGTCTGGGTTCATGCGTTGCACTTAGACATCCTGTGGGTTAGTCTCTTTTGATCTAAAACTGTTCCTTGTCCTTTTTTTGTTTTTCATGGCCTTCAAGGATGAGAGCCATTTGTTATATAGAATATCTTCATTTGGGGTACGTCTGTTATTATGATTAGATTCTGAGTATACATTTTTGACGAAATCCCACAGAAAAGAGATAGCTTTCTCGTTGTATAGAAGGAGCTATGATTATGGAAACTCAAATGCATTGTGTGGATGGATTGGAATTAAAGGTCTCAGGATGAACTGAGAGAGGTGGATAGAGATGCACCTGCTGAGTAGTAGAGGTAGATGGATGGGGCAGGGGGCATCACCACCCAACAGAGAGCAAACCTAACTCCTTGACCTTGGTCTGTGGAGACAGGGCTGACACCAGGACTGGGGCAGGGAAAGCAGAGGATGGGCCGAGAATGTCATGTGCCAGAAAATAAGATAGTACTTCAAAGCGAAGGGCCTCTTACTCTGCCCAAATCCAGGACAGTTTGGGATTTAAAATAAATGATACTTAGAATGTCTTATAGTTCATTGAACAGCAGAACCATCTAGTGAGCCCTTGCCAATGTAGCTAAACAACTGGAGAAGAGGAGGCCTCCCACTTGCAGCCGAGGCCAGCTGCTAGAAAGAGTGGGTGGTGGCGGAGTGAGGAGCCACCACCAGGAGCCGTGAAGGGGTACTTAGTGCAGACAGGAGCGTCACTGGGCACATACCATTGGGGGAGGGTCTGAGGAGCAGGGTCTCCACTGTATCTCAAAGTAGATTCCCACATGCTCCTTGATTGTTACTTAGAAAAGTTATTTCACCAAGGGACGGTGTGGCAGGCAGCACCTTAACTGGTGACCAGCATTAATGTCACCAACATTGTGTGACTCCTGACAGGATGCTCAGAAAAAGATATGACATCACTTCTCCGGTTCCATGGTTTCTAAGTTGAGGGTATCTCTGGACTAATTTCAGCACCCAGTCATGGGGCCCAGTAACTCTCCAGAGCATGTGTTTATTCCTTATTTGCATATGACTGAGACCTGAGGCCCAGACAAGGAGACAGATACTCTGCAGGAACCTCCTGCCCTAGAGGAAGTTGCTGCTTATCTGAGAACACATGGTGCTGGAGAATATTTCTAGGGGGATTTGGAGGGGACGCCTGTCCTGTGTTGGCACTGTCCAGACTTACTTTATTGCTGGAAACTTGGGGTCAGCCCAGGCACTCTTCTTCTTGTGTGCGTGGATGCAAAGAGTGCCACAGTTAGTCATAGCTGCACAAATAAGGGGGATACTGATGAATTTAACTTTTATAATTTATTTTTAATTTATTTTTTATAAATATAACACAAAACAAAAATAAAAGTATTACTTTCCTAAAGCTACTATAACAAAGTACCACAGAACAATATATTCAAAGAACAGAAATTGATTTTCTCACAGTACTGAGGTTCAGAAGTTCGAAGTCAAGGTGTCGTCAGGGCCACCCACCCTCTGATGGCATCAGGAAGATCCTTCCTTACCTCATCCAGCTCCAGCTGTCAGGTGAGGTCCCTGGCTTGCAGCAGCCTCCTACCAGGCTCTGGCTTTAGTGTCATGTGGCCTTCCTCCCTGCCCTTTTCTATGTCTTCATATGGCCTTTGTATGGGACACCAGTCCTTGGAATTAGGGTCCATCTAATATAGTATGGCCTCACGTTTACTAATTATGTCTACAAGACCCCTATTTCCAAATAAGGTCACATTCTGAGGTTTGGGGTGGACACGGATTTTTAAGGGACCCTGTTCAACCCAGCAGGGGATGGATAAACAGAAACAAATATTATCTAAAACCTTGCTTCATAAAGGACAGAAAATAAAGATGGAATTACAAAATGGGGAAAGCACTTCGGAAGGATTACCTGGGACCTCGACCCCCTAAGCCAGGAAAAAAACAGAATGTCCACTTGCCCTGGAAGCCAGGCGAGTTGGGACCTGCAGTGTAACCGTGCCTGGTCAGAGCTGAGGGGAAAACCCAACCTCCAGCTGTGGTCTCCTTCCTCTGCCTAAGACCTGTGCAAAGAAGATGAGGAAAATAAGGAAGGACAAATTTGGAAATAGAGGAAGGAGAATTGGCCTGATAGCAGCTAAATAAAGCTAGGGTTTCCTCCCCAGGCTCTGGGAAAATAACAGTGTGCTGTGCAAACGGACCCTTCGCCCTGATTCCATAGGAGGCTTTTCTCAGAGCCCTGCTAACCTGCAGGCCATTACTCTGCCTAAAGGTGCTAGTCCATTAAGGTCTTGTACTTGCACACAAAACTGAAGCTTTCCGAAGGTGTGCACTCCACCTCTGCATGGTGCTTGGCATTTATGGGGTCTCCCTGGGTGTGCTGCAGCTCAGCCTCACCAATGGGAGGCTCATGGGCACCCCATTTGCCTATTGCGCACCGCCTAGGACTCATCTGCACAGGAGGGCAGGGCCTGAGGTAGGCAGGTTCTCCCATGTGGCCTTCCCAGGCCAGGGCATAGCATGTTAGGCACCTGTCTGGAGTGAGAGGGGAAAGCAAGGGCTGCTCTTCTCAAAATCCTTCTTAGCTAGGTGATAGTGAAATTCATTCTTTGTGAAAGTGTGCTGCCTCTGCAGAATCTTCAGGGCTGCAGGATGCTCCACATTCCTCTCTGAGGCAGATTTGGGAAGCACTGGAGGACTTTGTTCTACTTCTTTCAGAGACTAGGAAAAGTCCCCCATGTGGGGGCAGAGCAGGGTCACTATAGGCTATACTCGCTCTACTCCTTTATAGCTGGAGGAGATATAAGTGACCAGCAAGTCCAGCTGTGGCCTGGAAATTTGGGTACTGGGGCTCTTGTGACTCAACACAGCTGAGAAGGAGACACGGACCCCACTTTTATGTAAATAATCAATAGAAATTTATTATGCCTCGCAGGGGTCATTGCCTTTAAGAAGCAAGCGACCCCAATGACAGATCAAATGGGTCTTTATACTCTATTCCTGCATCACAGCAAGCAAGCAAAGGAACAGAGGTTGGATCATTGCAGTTAGGCGGGGATGGGTGGGGTGGGGGGTGTGTGTGGGGGGTGAGGGGATGTCACGGTAATACAAAGGGGGGAGGCGGGAGGTACCTCTCCTTCCTACCCCTCCCTACGCACTCCCTTACCTTCAAGCCTCTTCTCAGAGTTTGCCTCCCCACCCTTGAGGGGGCTGGACTAATCTATTCAAAGGAAGTTTCTTTTTCAAGGCTAGAGGGCTTGGTTATCACAGGGCTGGTAAAGCTCTGGTGGCCTGGGGTCTTCCTGCGCTGGCAACCTAAGGCACACAGCAGTGACCGAGCCGTGACCGAAAGCTTCAGCCAGAGAAGGGAGAGGTGATTTTCAGAAACACAAGGAAAAAGGTCTGGGCTTTTCTACCACTGTGCCGCACAGCCCTTGTTCTTTGGCTTTGGGGTGAGTTGTATACTCACTTTTTAGAGTTTCACGTTTTTCCTGTCTGGTCATTGGCATGGGCTTGGAGAGGAAGAATCCAGAGAAGTTATCAGTTTGTGGTTCCCGGATGAAAAAGAGACCCTGGGGCATTTGTCTGTTCATGTGGCAAGGACTCAGTAAGTTGGACTTTTTCCCTCCCTAGGTAGGGCACAGGCATTCCAGAGGTCGTGGGTGTGAGTCTGCAGTATTACCACCCCCTTTTCCCACCTGAAATATGGTCTTTATTAAGAAATATGGAAATATTTATTTGACCCCTACTTTTGCTGGTGGCCAGAGAGACAGGCCCCTGTAGGATTTTAGGGTTCTAGGATTCTATGTGTTACTCACAGAAAGCTTCCTTGAAGGAGTACATCTCAGCATTAAAATACATTATCCTTGTGGGCCCTCCCAGCCGCTCCTCTGTCCAGTAGAGCTGGCCAGCTGCTTCAAGTAACTTTTTATTCATTCAAGCATCAGACATTTTGAGGTCCAATCCAGGCCAGAACGAGGGCAGGTTCTTTAGGATTAGGGGCTGTGCCTCAGGGCACAGAAGAGCTGCCTTCCTGGTTAGCGTCTCTCTTCTAAATCTCTCTTCAAAGACTTGGTCCTCCAACCTTCTTTTGTTGCCCTAAGAAATATTTTTCTATGCTGTGGATCAGAGTTCTAGACTGGAATTAACTTACCTTCTTACTCGAGTGGCTTCTTTTCCTCAGCCCCACCCCGCTCATCTCACACTTAGCCGTGAGCTGCTTTCCCCACAGCCACGCAGAGCCCAGGGCCGTGGGCCATGGCTGTCTATGTCATCGGCCCTATTCAGTGCTGGCCAGCATCACTGGCTTTTTCTCACTGAGGTCAGTGAAATATTTATATGTCTGCCTTACTTGCGTTCTTCTGAAAAGTTGCATAGAAACTAAAAATCCAAAAATAAATATGATCTTAAACGCCCAGGATAGCAGGCTACACAAAAAGCTTGCAGTTAATTTTGTTGTAAACTAAATAAACTTTCCTTCTTGTCTGCTTTGCAAACATTTGTACCTCTTGAGTCCCACGTTTCTCATTGTCTACAGTTTTCTAAGATGACTGTTTGTGATAATGTGATATAATACAAATTTAGTCTTTGCCTCTGGTTCCTGGCACACAGCTCCAAAAACCTTACACTTTCTGAAGTGGTGTCTTTTTGTATGCTAATGGGATAGGTAGTGGTTGTAGCTCCAGACACCTCAGGGTGGGCACTGGAAATTAATTTTTGGCCTCACCCTCCACTTCTGGAGAGAGGAAAGGAGCTCCCAAATGTTGAGGTAATCACCAGTGGCCTGCAGTGTAACCAATTGTGCCCACATAATGCAGCCTTCATGAAAACCCAAAATGGTAGGGTCGGCAAGAGCTCCAAGTTTGCTGGACATGTGGAAGTTCCTGGAAGTGGCCCTGGGAGAGTGTGGAAGCTCCACCCCCCATA